AAGTATGGAGTGCTGGCAGCTGGGGGTAGCACTTTACTGGGAAGGTTTCTCAGTAGGAAGCCCTAAGGGACAGCAGGATCACACTGCTCCTGCCCAGGGGTTTCTATAATGGACATAACGCTGTGACTTTAATCAAGCTTTCCAAGTGAGGGAGATGCTTTCAAAACTGTGTTTTGGGAAACAGCTGCTCAGCTTGGGCTCATGCAGAAGGCAGGTCTTGCAAGTAGTTATGCTCTTCCTATAGTACAAATAGAAATGAAGCTTCATAAACCTGTGGGGAGAGGGGGCACTCAATGGTCAGTCAGTTTGAGCTTCCTTTCCCTTTCCCTTTCCCTTTCCCTTTCCCTTTCCCTTTCCCTTTCTCTTTCCCATTCCCTTTTTTTTTCCTTTTTCATTTTCCTTTTTCTTCCCCTTCCCCTTTTGCTTCTCCTTCCCCTTCCCTTCTCCTTCTCCTTCCCCTTCCCCTTCCCTTCCTCCACACCTATTTCTCTCTGCTCTTTTCTCATTTTCTTTTTCCATTTTTATTCTCCCTTTCCTTTGCCTTGCTTGTGGAATGGCTTGGAGGCAAATAGAATTAAACTCTCAGATCATTCACATTGTTCTTTTCCAAACTTGCAGCCCTGTTAGTACAGTTTCACTACAATTAATGTTAATTTAACACTAGTGAGAATTCCTGAGATGACATGATCCTCTGACATGTCTCTTTCAGTGCACATACTCTGTAAAATGTATTGTCTCTTTTAATTCTAAAGTATTTGACAGCTTAGGGATTTTTTCATAGGGAATATTCTGCAGGATGATACGTAAAAGTGAGGCTTAAATGGCTTGTTCTTATCAAACAGACCTCAGTATGCTTTGCTTACAGAAAAGGCTGTTATCTGCAGTTACATCAGTTTCAGAAAACTACATTGTGCTTCCTTGAACAAGAAGCTCATACAAACCAAGTCAGCTTGTTCAGTGCTGGGCAGGATTCAGAAGAGGATTTCATGGTTTTATGAAGGACAGGAAGGCCGACGTCCTTCAGATGCTTAGGTGTATCTATGATGGGAGTTGCCTTACTCAACTTTACCTGGTTTAAAGTGAAGCATCTGTTTCAAAAGAGATGATAGTCAAGTTCTGTCAATATTCAATGCAGAGAGAGAGTGGTGCATTCCATCCTAAACCTGGCATTCAAGAGAGCTGTGGGGGCTGTAAATAGCTCAGATTAGGTTAGAGTTTCTCAGTACCTAATGCATTGCATCAGTTCTTTGTGCGTTCCCACTGAAATGGAGCTTTGCCTTGCTGAACCTCATGGGGTTCACATGGGCCCACTTCTCAAGCTTGATCAGGTCCCTCTGGATGCCATCCTGTCAGTCAGGGGTGTCAGCTACACTACTTAGCTTGGTGTCAGCTGAAAACTTGTATGGATATAACTTGGCTAGTACAAGACTAATTATGGGACTTCGAAATGATGATAATGTAACACTCTAAAAAAAGGGAAAATGATTCATATGTATAGCTATAGACCAGCTTGCCTGATCTCACTCACAGCAAAATAATAACTGATGGCAAAAACAGTGAATGCAGCATTACAGAATGAGAATTATTATGTATCCTTATTTAAGGATTATAATTTTAGGAGAAAGAGGTCATCTCTAACAAAGCTGATTTCTTTCTGTGGAGAGTTACAGTTCGGTTGATATGGTAACTACCTGGGTATAATACTTTTGTTCTTATGCATTGTTATTGCATATTCAATAACATTTGCATTAAAAAGTGACAATGTACAATGGATTAAGAGCTGACTGATCTCACGTAGCAAGTGTCAATGGAAAGTCATCATTTCTAGTGCAACTGTAAAAGGGATTTATAGCAGTTCTGGTGTTATTAAAAATTTCCATGAACCACATAGACATAAATGCAAAATCTTTGCTGATGAAATTTGTGGATGAAGCAAAAACTGCCTAAAGTTGATGACAAGGAAGTAGTTTTAAACAATAATATATTTAAAGGAACTGCAAGCTTGTATAGAATTGGATGGGAGAGGATGTAGCAAGGACCAGTGCCTGAAAGCTCAGGTCAGCCAGTTGTATCTTCTCTGTTGCAAACCTGTGTTTACAAATTAGAGGAGGTGTAGCTGCAGTGAAGATTTTAATACTCTTTCTGCCATTAGCAGTAGGTGCTCGTTGTTGTAAGTCCTCCAAGCACTGCTAGTTTTCACACAAAGTTTGTCCTGGTAGCAGCAGAAAGAATAGGCATAAACACTCTTTGATGATAAAATGTTCACCTATATGAGGGCTCTCATAGAAAGGCTTCATAGGAGAAGAACAGCTTTAGTATTGCCTTCAATATCAATGCACGCTTGGGTGTATCAATGAGACCTATTCGCTGGTTGGGATTGATTGTTGTGCTATCAGTCTGGCACCACTGCTCCTTTGGACACAATCATAGGTGCTGCTAACTTAGATGGGAAAGCACTAACCTCTTTTGTGCCCCTGTGAGTTATTCTGTAACTGGAAGTGAGCACTGCAATGATTTTCTTTCCCTTGTGGACAATTTATGCTTGTGCCTTAGATGCAGTCTGGAAGGGAGAAGCCAAAAGGAGCACAGGGCATTTTACAAATGAAGGCCAAAGTCAGGCCACAGTTCTTTAAGAGGTAATAAAGAGATTTAAAGGACAGAGCTGGAAGAAGTGAATAATATTAAGGTTGGAATTTCTGTTTCTTGTGGCAAGAGAGGTCTGAACAAAGGCCAAGCACATAAGTTTGTTTTATGGTCCAAGTTCCAAAACAAGAGCTAAAACCAGGAGGATTTCAGTAGCTCGTACTTCCCTGCTAGAAAGCCATGGTTCATTCTAATTGGACCTGGTGGAGATTGTCTGATGTCATTAGAGATTGGAGTGATAATTTATATACCTATACATCACACATTACATCCTTGTTGCACGAAGATGTACGCTGCTGCGTCTGAGGTGTTTTATTCTTCCCTGTGTATCTTTCAGGAGTCCTGGAAGCAGAGGTGAATGATATATTTTTGTGATTTTATTCATACCTTCCATTTGTTTATTCTTTACTGGGAAATTTGGCTTGTTTTGGTTTCTGATATTCCTTATTTTGTCATACTGTACTTACTTTACTTATTTAGCCACATACCTTCTAGTTCCAAGACTGGGGCTCAGAAGTGCTGTTTACTGCACTGACTCGGTGCCTGTAACCAAAACAGCATTCACTGTTAGCAAAGCCAACATTTAAAGGATCAGTGTGACATCTGCACAGGGCTTCTGACACTTCTAAGCAAATATTTTGTCAATACAGCTTAGGTTGGAATGGGAATAGAAGGGGCCTAAATTTGGCTTTTGCAAACCTTAATGGCTTAAAAGTTTTTTAGCTTTTAAAGTTCACCCTGAAAGTAAGAGCTTAGGTGTTGCATTGGGAAGTTGTGCAGACCTCTGATGGGGGTGAAAGTACCACATGTTTTCATGTCGGATGTTAGGATATAAGCATGTTTGAGTGATGTATCATTCAGTGTTGGCTCTTGGTGTGGTGAATAGAAGAAAGAAGTGACTATTCTGAATTTTATCTATGGAAGCAGCACCCCTAAAGATGTCCAAAGAACATCTGAAATGCCCTGGAAAACAATTACTTGCATGAGTAACCAATCTCTGGCCTCACTCACTGCTGCAGCAAAGGAGTGGTTGAATGCATTTGTTTCCGATTGCTGCATTGGCTCTTGGGGCTTCTGGCAATGTCTACTAAAGTCCCTGTTTCTTCCACTGAACTGAGTGCTTCACCTGCAGTTGATAAGCTAGACTGTATATTTATTAGCACAATAAAGCAGGAAAAATACCTGGTTTCATTGCTAGGCTTAAGCAAACACTATGGAATATTGGATTGTTTTTTACTGAGAGCCATGAGCAGAAGAGATGAAAGTCCTACTGGTAATGTCCTCAGAAAACTCATTTTTGCCTCATGATTGTGGATGTAGCTTCACAAACAAGTTAGACCTTCTGTAACAATTCTTCAGAGACCCCTGTGAGATTGTGTCCCACTGGTGAGGGCATTGCCTTCAGTTCCTGGCTCCCCATCCCTTAGGGAGCATTTGGTCCTTTGTGCTCCTTTACAAGCACAACAATTAATGATACTGACGGAATAATGTGCTAAACACCAGCTGGAGATGATGCTAGGTACATTATGCATCAAGTTGAGTACTGCAACTGCAGAGAATTATGTATATTAGCATGTCTCCAACTGGGCAAATGAAGGAGTGGGACTTGGCTGTCCCCATCTGGTTGTTCTTTAACTTAGAGAAAGGACATAAATGTGGGACTGTGCAGGTGGTGTAAAGCCAAGGGTTCAGCTTTATATTCTCATTACACTGATTCCTTGGGCTACCTGCCTCCATTGTTTTCAAGTATGCAATTGCCCATTGATCTGGGAAAACAAAGCGTAAATATATGTTACTATAAATATATGGCAAGAAGGAGGTGGATGGGTAGACAGTTCTCTGCAGAAAAGCGTTTACCTGCAATTGTGTTGACACTAATTGGGAGCATAAGAAATGGCTGACAAAGGCTGGGTCTTTTCATTACTCTTTTGAAACCTGTGTGTAGGGGTGAATATAAAAAGTTTTAGTCATCTCAACTTTCTGCTTGAACAAACTCAAGTTGCAGACACATAAATAGTCACGACCCTGAAGGAACGTTAACAGGTGAATCACACATAAGAGAGAAAGATACAGGAAGGTGGGCTAGATTAATCTATTCTGTTTGGTTTCTTGGCTGGTCAGTCACCAAAAGTGCCTTAAAACCAGGCATAGTGTATTGTGTCTCTTGCCCAGCATGTGGTTAGGGGCTAGGATAAAGGAAAGGCATTTAGGGCATGCAGAGACTGGGAACAGAATTACTGCTCTGGGACCATGTGCAAGTATTGGACAAAGCCCAGGAGATTAGCCTTTGTTAGTTCTCTAGCTTCCAAAATTATGTTTACTTGTGATAATTTTGTACTGGTTCTTTTGCTTTTCAGATGTCCTTTGTCCAAATGTCCATGTGGAAGGAGACAGATTCAAACACACCAGTGGGGGGACTGATGAGATTCCAGGTAAAAAGACTCACTTCCTACTTGAAATAACATAATTGTGCATTTCTAGAGTGATGCTCTGATTCGTTTCACCTTTCCTAGTTGACATTTTCTTATTCCAACATGTATCCAGTGGTGGGAAAGTATATTAGAAACTGCAGGGCTGGAAAAGAGTTACCTCTTGACAGTCAACAGCAAAATAATCATGAGCTTTCTTTTGATATGACAGCAAATTAAAACAACGATTGAGCTTAGTGTAATAGATAAAGAAATGCAATAAGTTTTGGAAATTACTTTCTTTTTTTACCACTCCACATTTGGTGCACTTTAATGTCCATGAGTTAGAACTTTGATTGTTGTGAGACATCCAAGCACAATGGTAATTACCACTGAAGAAATCCTTATATATGTGTATAGAAGGGAAAAAAAATGGAAAAGGGAAAAAAAGTCACAAGAAGAACCAAAATTTCTGACATGCTGGTGAAAGATCAAGAGGAAAACCAGTCTGGTGATACATCTGCTTTTCTGTGAGTTCTGATATATCTTGCCAGCCAGCTGACGGACTTAGTCTGTCAGATATATACATGGCTGTGCCTCTTTTCTAGCCCCCCAAGACTGTCTGAGCTGTTGGCATAGAAAACCTGCCCATCAAGGATGTACTGGGAATATCCATGGCTGACCCAAGAACATAAGCCGCTGCAGTAGGAAGCCAGAGGCTCTTCTGCAACTTGATTATGAGTAGAAATGGTCAAGGTTTGACAGCTCTGCCACTCACTCAGAGTTTTTCAGTGGGGGATTTTTCACTGCAGGCACAAAATATCAGTTCCAACTGTGCAGTCTGTAGGCAGCTTATTTTGGCTGCAGTTTGATTACATCTAAGCCTGTGAGAATGCTAGGTGGTAACATATTTTCTGGTTATTAAACCCAAACTCATAATCCCAAACCACCCATTTTCAACTGCTGTCTATTCCTAGGTCTTGCATTAACCTGCTCTGACAGTCGAGTGGTCACTGGGCTGTGCAAACACAGTAAAGCTGTTCAGCAAATAGCCCTACTGATTCTGAATGAACTTATTTGCAGTGGAAACTGGATCTGAATCCATCAAAATGGATTTTGTCCCTCCTCACACAGAAGTCTCTCTTCCATAGAATATGATCATCTTCAATGTGCGCCTTTCCAGAAGGATGGCATTGTAACTGGCTGCTATGGCTAGTTCATGTTTATCTGAATTTTAATTCAAGTGCTAATGAATAGACTCTGTGCTTTTATCTGGCTTCAAAAATCTATCTTCTGTTGAAGACTCCCACTTCAGGTCTGGCACAAAACTTCTGAGTAGAGTGAGGCTTAGATACACATATGCATGTATAATTATATATCTATATGCATATATTTATGCTCTTCTGTAAAGTATTTGACTTATTTTTTCTTTAACCTTCAAATCCCACTTACCTCTTAGCAAGCAAGTCAATATTCAGCATTTTGACTTAAAAGATAGATTTAACTTTTTTTGACTTACTTAAAAGAAAAGATTTGACTTTGCTCTCTTAGACCTGTTAACTAGTTCAGATTGGAAGGGCCCTATGGAAATCCTCTGGTCCAACCTCCCACTCAGAGCAGGGCTTACTTGGAAGTTAGGTCAGCTTTGAAGTTAGAACAGGTTGTTCCAGACCTCATACAGGTGACTTTTGAGTATCTCTAAAGATAGACATTCCACAGGTCCTTTGGACAACTGTTCCAGTTTCACCACTATTCCACTGAATAGTTTTTTTCCCTAATATCTAAACAGAGTTTTCTGTATTGCAACATGTCTGTTCCCCTGGTTAGACTGATAGCATAGGGATGTCATTTATTTGACCTAGGAGACCTCTGTTCACTGTAAAATACAAGCATACACGGTGCCATGCAGTGTCTTAATAACAGGATTGTTACACTATTTGATTAAAGTGAAACTCTGGTCCCTCTCCACCAATGCAAGAGGATTTGTAGAAGCTTCTGATTACTCCTACATGGTGAAACAACAACAATTTTTTTTCGCTTCCTCTTCTTGGTGACTTAGAAGATGTAAGCCTCTTCCCTAGAGAAAACTGAATTGATATTCTGGGTCTGCTTAGGGTCATTGTACTGCTGGAGATTGATCAGTATAAGACCAAAATGCTGTTTCACTCCTCATTTACTCCTTACATACTTTATAGCATTTTCTAAAGACTCTCAGCCCCTGGCTCCAATTACAACAGAAAATCACTGCCTTTTCCCAGCTAAAGTCACTGGAAAAATTCTGTTGGCTCAGTGTGCTGTGTTTCATCTTCCAAATGGATGTGTTTTGCTGTTAGCTGTTGATGAAAGGCTTTTGTATTCTGCCCCAAAGAGGACTGCACTTCAGTTTTGAGGAACAGCCTCACGTGCTCAAGGATTTGAATTTAACGCCTGTGTCTTGTGCTCCACTTGGAAACTTCATGACAACCAAAGCTGATGCTTGCCCAGAAGGCTCCTAACTCAGAACTTCATAGCTACATCTTGCACAAGCTTGTGTCTAGATGGCTGCAAAGTGCAGCCCCATCAAGTGGAAGCTGATGTAAAACTCATTGTGGGGACAGGGAAGACTGTATGAAAATGCTTCTCAGCTTAAATACCCCTTTAGGAAGAAAACCTTCACTATGAGAGTGTTGAGACACTGGAATAGGTGCCCAGAGAAGCTGTGGCTGCCACATCCCCATCAGTGTTCAAGGCCAGGTTGGATGGGGCTTGGAGCAAGCTGCTCTAGTGGAAGGTGTCCCTGCTCTTGGCAGGAGTTGGAGCTGGATGAGCTTTCAGGTCTTTTCCAACCCAAACCAGTCTGTGATTCTATGATTCCCTATCGCAGAGAAGGACAAGACATCACAATTGAAGGTAAGAGGGATAAAAGTCATTATGGAAATTATTTTTCCCATATTTTTGTTGGGTGAAATGCACCAGCAAATGGCACAGCCAATTGTTTCACACAGAGCATCACCAGTGCCAGCAGGGTGAGGGTAGGGAGGATGGCTCCATGCATAACCAAATTAATAACTGCATCAGAAAATACATTATGAGCTGGAGGAGAGCCAACAGACTGAACCAATATTTTTCTTTCAAAAGACAGGTGATTTTTTTCTTTAGACAAACAGAACTAAGTAAATCTTGTCTAACTGGACTTCGGCAAGCATTTGTTGGATTACCGCATTGAAAGTCACTGCTAAAGTGAAAAAGGGTAGAGATTAATAAACACAGTAAACCGAGCCAGGAACTGGCCAGCAGGAAGATGACAATGAAAGGGAATAACAAGTCAGAGAGCAGACAGGGGTGGACTTCCTCAGGGTCTAATCTTCTCTGTGAGTTTACTGTGTAGATTAGAATCAGAATATCCTTGAAGGAGGAACTGGTTGGCCTCAAAAACCCAGGAGGGTTTTCCAGCTGATTTAGGACTATTAGTTTTAAAGGTCTGTTATGCTACCTATGGATCAGCAACAAGACTTTGTTTTATAAACTCATAGTCTCAAAACTGATGGTGTCTCAGCAGATGATTGTAAATTAAACTGTACATCTGGGGGAAAAGGCAAAGGTCATTATTGCACAGGCAAAGTAGGTCTTGTAGAGATAGGGTAGAGTTCATGAATGTGGACAGGGCTTTGGTTACAGCTTATTTGGAGAACTGTGCTCAGACCTCCTTAGCACAGGAAAGATGGATTCAGCCTAGAGGAGCTATTACTGTGTTCAGGAGCCAGAGAGACTATTTTCAAACAGGAGATTAAAGAACTGGGTTTGGTTAATCTTGCTGTGTGCAGGTGGAATGGGGAGATACTACTGCTTTCTGCTAAGAGATCAGCAGGAGGGACATAGGGGAATCACAGGACAAAGAATATAACAAGAAATGGGTATCAACTATTTAAGATATATTCAAGACATTAGAAGAAGGTTTCAAGCTGTTAGAGATATGAAGTACTGGAACAAAAAGTGAAGTAGTAATAATGGAGATAGATAAACAGGGATGGATAGGCAGGAGTCCTCTCATAGCAGATGATTGTGTTCTATGACCCTCTGGTATCACAGTATTTAAATAAGAAATCATGAGCTGTAATATTCAGTAAGGACTGCTACATTGAAATAGGATTGAATGAGGTGAGAATATATAGGCAGCTTTACTACTGATACAAATTTTGGCAGTGAAGTGAAGCAGCATCTGCTTAACAGTTCATAACACATAAATTCAGAATATAAATGTTGCTGCATGCATTAGAAATTACAGAGGGAGTTTTGAAAGAAAGTAAAAAATCAGGTTAGAATACCAGGATAAAAACTCTTCCAGGAAGTCTGCTATTTTAAAGAAATGCTTAATGATACTTTAAACAAAATTCTTACAACATCCTTGTGGGTACCATGATGTTTTTTTTATCAAGTAGACAAATGAAAGTAAAAGGAGGTTTAACTCATATGTCCTGAATTGAAACCCCTGCTGTAATTCTTAATACCGCTTGTATTGCTGAACTGTCATTCTGGTTCCATCAGCATTTAACAAAGGACTATGGCCTACTATTAATCATGACCAGGCAGGAAAACACAATGACAATATCTTGCACCCTGAAGATGTGCCCCTTGTGTATTTTTATGAACCATCATATTGCACCAAAACAACGCACAAAAGTCACTGAAAATGAATTATACATCCTGATGTTTTAGCACTTTACATTTCAATTACTCGTATTTTACACTAGATCTGCAGGACATGGGATTTGGTTGCAGAAATCTGGATGATCCCTAGAATTAAGAATGGGTTGAGCTCTAGTCCTTAACATTATCCATAAGAGGGGATAATACTCAACAGATACGGAGTGCTGTTTTCAGAGGGAATCTGCCACAGAAGTAAACACCTGCAATGGTTTCCATGAAGTGCTGAGAAAAATTAACCCTGGGGGGAAGTTAATGATTCCAGTCACTGCAGGACATTAAACGTCCCACACTGGATGGTGTTAGTGGAGCAAGGAGGGTATGTAAAAGCCTGAACTCCT